CTTAATAAAAGGAGACATGCCAACATATTGACATCATGTTCAAGGGGAAATTTCAGCCCCTTCAAACCCTTAACCTTTCCCCCTGCCCCCCTTCAAAAATTGAAGGAGAAAAAGTAAAAGAAATAGAGGCAGAGACACCACCAGATTCAAGATGTTCGATTACAATTGTTGGGCCTGGAGCCAAGATGCCGAATTGGCCTCTCTTTGTTCCCAAACCCAAGCACCTCACTCAGGGCTCTGATCTTTCATCCTGTGTAATGATAATTAGCCGTAACATATTCCAAAGTCAAATGTAAGCAGGAATACATTAACATTGAGATCAGTGTCAGGGCAATTTTCACTGGGAAAATGACAAAGAACACACACAAGCACATGCATGCACACACATACACAATTGAAAATTTCAGAATTCACGTATTCATAAAATCACTTCCATAGCCGTGAATATTAAACTCATTGGCCTGTCTGTTATGAGTGTTTACCTAGAATGCCAAGGCCTCCTAATGCTGATGCCGTGACTCCCACAGCCCATGCTTAACAGAGAAAACATGAGTAATAAACCATGGTAACTTGCTTTAATTTTTCCATTCTTTATTAGAACAAAGAGGGACAGTACAAGAGGTGATTTGTGGTCCAAGAAGGGGTCTTCCAGGCGGTTGGATAGCATGGCTCTCAACAGCTGGTCCAGCACATTTGGGAACAGCATGTAGAAAAATGCATCAGTGTTTTAAAGATTACCAACTGTGATGATGCATGGGTTATGACACAATCTAAAAAAATGTTAAATTTCCTAGCCACAAACCATATAATTTAATGTCTGTACTCTCAAGGCACACACTCTCAAATTCAAGACTAAGATATGTCCAAATTTAGTAAAACTGAATCTTCCAATACTAAATTTCCACTCTTTAGAGAGGGAAGAGTAGTAGCTTTTTTTGAATGCCTGGCATTTCTTGTTAAAAGCCAAGGAGTTAAACATGCACCTGGCATCCTTGGATTTACAAGGTTGATAATGGCAGAAGAAAATTCCTACAATGAAAGGACAAATATCTTAATAAAAAGAATTCACAATTAATAGTTTTCTTGAGATGAACAACCATAACTAGATTATTCCCCCCAGACTCTTTCAAATTAACGTAAACACGGCAGGGACTCCTCTATTCCTATCAGCCGTCCTTCCAAACAAACCAAAAACCTGTGTGAAATTTCTCTCTGTTACTTACGTTTTGCAGCTCAACCAGCCTTTGATTTGCATTACATTTCTCCCATATTTTGTTATAAAAATTTGCAAACATATAAAAAAGTTGAAAGAACTTTACCACCATCACTACTGTATCGACCACATCAATCTTACAATTAATATTTTACTATATTAATTTTATAATATATCTCTTCATTTCTCCATCCCTTTACCTATTCTTAAATCTACATTATTATATTAGATTGTAAAATGAATAACCAATAGCTCATTCAGCAATCAAAATTCAAATTATCTTGACTTTATTATAATTAATAAAGTGAGGATCACATATAATGGCATTCATTAACTCATTCAACAAATATTTCCTGAGTTTCTGCTTCAGGCCAGACACTGTTCTAAGTGCCAAAGACACAAAATTCAATAAAACAGCCAAGATACCTGCCCTCATCAAATTTATAATTAGTGGGCTTGACAGGGGAAAAACAATAATTAAGTGAATGGCTCTCTAAAACATGATGTGCAAAGAAAGATATGTTAATATAGACAAGTAAATTTAGTTGTCATAACAGGGCAGGAGGAATGTGTATGCAACACGATTGCCCAAATAAAGCCCATATAGAGCAACCTCTTAAAACATATTTGTCAAATTACTGAATAACTGAATATATTTTAAAATTTACAGTGTAAACATCATTTAAACAACTGTGTATTAAAAAAGAACAGCACTCTAAAAGAGTAGCCGTAAAGGTACATAAATAATAATAATAGAAAGTCAATTGGTTTAACAACTCTAACAAAAGACTTTTTGAAGAAATATCTGATGGGGGAGGGACTATTCTGAATAGTATGCCTACCATTAAAGTATTTGTGTTTGTATGGAATATAAAGCAAATAAAATAACAATTTCCTTTTAGAGTTGAATGTCTTCACAAATAAGATAGTGCCAATGATTTTTACAGAGGTAATTAAATTAGAATTTAGGAAAGCTATTATAGACTAACAAGCAGAAGTTTTTGTGTTTTAATTTTTTTGAAATGAAAAAATACAGGAGTTAGTTTAAGTTTCTTAGTTTAAAAAGAAGACATTGTTAGGCAGCTTTGGTTAAAGCTATCATTTAATTTGTAATTACTCTAAGAAAGTTAAATCATCTGATTTGTAGCCATTAAATCAGGTCAACTTTTCTTTAACTAAATTGAGACACTTATTATCTGGTTATTCAGTGTCTACAATTTATTAACAGTGAAACTAAATGTAAACTAATACTTAGAACTGATAATTTTATAAATGTTACTTGAATTAATAAAAAATTATTTCAAATATTTTTAAGTTAAATGAATGGAATTGGGAATATTTGTGTATGGCAAGGGATAGGAGGTATAAAGATTAAGTTTTGGGTCAAATCTTTTTATTGTGTAGACTAATATATACATATAATGTTCACTACTGCCAAATACTTAGAAAGAAAAAAAATAACATTTAAAAAATTTAAACACAATCTGTGCCATGCAAATTCAAACATAATATGGTAAACTGACATACTGATAGTTATTGTCTCTAAATTTTTGGTTAGAGAATTTCTGATAGAATTTTTTAAACTAAACAAAGAAATTATCAGGAAAATCTATACCATCTACCACTGACTTCATGCAAATTAAGTCTGGTTGTTAATTTTGCCTTTCTGACTTCATAAAATTCCTTGGATAGTTTCTACCTAAATTGAAAATATGACCAAGTTAAAATAGTAAAGTAACAATATTATCAATTTTTATGCTATTGTCTGTCTTGTTCTGTTGGTTTCACAAAAAATAAATGAGCTACATCCTTGAGCCAACTCAAAAATATAATCTATGGCCTCGTGTAGAAAATCACCATTCATTGAAATTTTAAGGGGACTTCTACTCTGGCAAATATGAAGTAACATAGTAGATTTATGCTCACTTATCTGAAACAATAAAAAATGAACAAAATATACAAAACAGTTTACATAATTAAAAAAATAGCAACATTTCACAAGATACTGGATACCAGGGAATGAAGGGCAGTGATCTCTAAGAAGCAAGAAACAACTGGTGTGAATATGACTTTCCAGCTTATTGCCTTGAGAGAGCTGTGAGGCCACAGCACTTGGCGGGGAAGTTTGTGGAAACCCTGTGGTAACTAGATGGAGCTGAGTATCCAGAGTGATGAAGACAGTCAGAATGTGCAGGACATGGTGCTGAAAAGTGTTACACAGGAAGGGAGCTCTGGAAGATCTTCAGAAGGCACCCTGTGACTATTTAGCTAGGTACTGATCAGTGCAGTTGTGAGAGGAAACCATGGGTGCAGCTGGGGAAAGATACATGTAACCAGATTGAAGATAACAGTATCCAGTGGCAACTCAGGATTGGGAACAGGGACTATTCCCACCAGCCATGAAAAGCTCATTTTTCATGGGCCTTGAGTAGAATATACTGAGGGATCTTAATCCAGTAAAAGGGAATAATAATTAGGCCCAAGCTGATCACTGTCTTGTTGCAAACAAATCTTAAGTGCAAGATCCAAAAGAATCAAATTGTTTTCCAAGCTACTTAATTTATAGGAATACAAAAATACCCAATTACCCAACCAGGTAAAATTCACACTGTTTGGCACCTAATCAAAAATTATCATACATGCAAAAAAAAAGCAGAGAAATATAATCTATAATAAAGAGATAAATTAACCAATAAAAAATGAACCATAATTAATGTCACAATTAGCAGAAAGTAAAATTAAAAACATTCTAACTATAGTCCATGTGTTCAATAAATTAAGTAAATATTTTAAAAAACTCCAATTGAACTTCTTGGGAAGAAACTACAATATGTGAGGTAAAAAATACACTGGATGAATTAGCAAATTAGACATTGGAAAATAAAAAAAATAGTAAATTTGAAGGCACAGCAATGGAAACTACCTAAAATGAACCATAGGTAGAAAAGATAATTATAATAATGAGTAGAACATCAGTGACCTGTAGGGGAATTCCAACATGTGTGACTGGATTCCCTAAGGCAGAAAGGAAGATAAAATATATTTGTAGAAATAATAAACAGAAGTTTTCCAAAACTGATGAAATTTACAAGTCCAAGTAGTTTCATGAGCCCCAAGCACAGAAAATAGGACATTACATGAAGAAACATCCTTACAAAGCTAACCAAAACCATTCACAAAAAGAAGAAAACTCGGAGGCAGCGCAAGAAAACAGACGTGTTAAACAGAAAGATGACAGTGATGCTCACCCCTAAAACCACACACGAGAGGACGGTGGAGCAATAGTTCTCAGGGCCCTAAAATTTAAATAAATAAATAAAATAAAAGTTAATTAGAATTCTATATCAGAGAAAATATCTTTAAATATAAAAGGAAATACTTCTCATTCAAAAGCGAGAATTATTCATTTCCAGGTGGCCCTCACTACAAGGAATATTGAGGGAAATCCTACAAACTAGAATGAAAATGATATCAGAAATGTGGATCCACATGCTGAATGAAGAGCACTGGTGACAGTAATTATTTGGCTAGATATATGATTGTTCAAAAAAAAAAACCTCAACCTTTCTTAAGAGATAATTGAGTAGTTGGGGGCCTGGGGGAAGGGTAAGGAGAGGTAGCACCAGTTAAAGGGCAGAGGTCGCCTCCAGCTGCCCAGGATCAGACCAAGTAGCCACTGCGCCTGCACCTGCGCAGGTATCAGGCTCACGAGACACTGCGTGCCCCTCCCCCCAACAACGCCTCCATCACCGTGGAAACCGCGCCCGGAGCGGCTGGGACTGGCTTCATGGAGGCGGCAAAGAAGTCAGTTGTGGAACCGTTGGTGGCGGCAGTGGTCCAGTCGACTAACTCCTCTCGCTTTCTGGTTTTCAATTCAAAAACAGCGGAGCCACTTACTCACCACCAAGTGGAATTAACACAAGAGTTTCCAAAGGAAGGATGGGTGGAACAAGACCCTAAGGAAATTATTCAGTGTACTTACGAGTGTATGGAGAAAACGTGTGAGAAACTTAACGAACTGAACATTGATCTGTCCAACATAAAAGCAATAGGTGTCTGCAATCAGAGGGAAACCACCCTAATCTGGGACAAGGTAAGCGGAGAGCCGCTCTACAATGCTGTGGCGTGGCTTGATCTGAGAGCCCAGGCTACCGTTGAGAAACTTAGCAAACAAATTCCAGGAAATAACAACTTTGTGAAGTCCAAGACAGGCCTTCCACTTAGCACTTACTTCAGTGCAGTGAAACTTCGTTGGATTCTTGACAATGTGCAAGCAGTTCAGAAGGCTGTGGAAGAAGGCAGAGGACTTTTTGGTACTATCGATTCATGGCTCATCTGGAATTTGACAGGAGGAGTTAATGGGGGTGTCCATTGTACAGATGTAACAAATGCAAGTAGGACGATGCTTTTCAACATTCATTCTTTGGAATGGGATAAAGAGCTCTGTGACTTTTTTGAAATTCCAATGAACATTCTTCCAAAGGTCTGCAGTTCTTCTGAGATCTATGGCAAAATGAAAGTTGGGGCCTTAGAAGGTATACCAATATCTGGTTGTTTGGGGGACCAGTCTGCTGCATTAGTGGGACAAATGTGCTTCCAGGAAGGGCAAGCCAAAAACACCTATGGAACAGGTTGTTTCTTACTGTGTAATACCGGTCGTAAGTGCGTATTTTCAGATCATGGTCTTCTGACCACAGTGGCTTACAAATTAGGCAGAAATAAGCCCGTGTGCTATGCACTGGAAGGTTCTGTTGCTATAGCCGGTGCTGTTATTCGCTGGCTAAGAGATAACCTTGGAATTATAGAGACCTCAGAAGAAATTGAAACACTTGCTAAAGAAGCAGGTACTTCTTATGGCTGCTATTTCATCCCAGCCTTTTCAGGGTTATATGCACCTTACTGGGATCCTAGTGCACGAGGGATCATCTGTGGGCTCACTCAGTTCACCAATAAAAGTCATATTGCTTTTGCTGCATTGGAAGCTGTTTGTTTTCAAACCCGAGAGATTGTAGATGCCATGAACCGTGACTGTGGAATTCCACTCAGTCATTTGCAGGTAGATGGAAAAATGACCAACAACAAAATTCTTATGCAACTACAAGCAGATATTCTGCATATCCCTGTCATAAAGCCCACTATGCCTGAAACGACTGCCCTGGGAGTTGCCATGGCAGCGGGAGCTGCAGAAGGGGTGGATGTTTGGAGTCTCAAACCGGAGGATTTGTCAACTGTTGTAATGGAGCGGATTGAGCCACGGGTCGAAGCCACAGAAAGTGAAAATCGTTATTCTACATGGAAGAAAGCTACGATGAAGTCAAAGGGCTGGGTTACAACTCAGTCTCCTGAAAGTGAAGATTCTGCTGCCTTCTCTAGTCTGCCCTTGGGATTTTTTATAGTGAGTAGCATGATAATATTCATTGGAGCAAGATACATCTCGGGTATACCGTAATAACATCAAGCATGAGCTTTTTACATAATGAAAGAACTCTGTCTTTTAATGCCATGACAACATCATAGATTCTGCATTTGTTTATAAACGACTTGCTGCATGACTTCAGAGAACCCTACAAGTAGACCTGTGACTTGAAGTAAATAAATTACAGCAAAATCACTGTAGAAACATTTGGCGTGTTTTTTAACATTGAAAGTTAAGGTTGGGTCAGCTACTTTAGGGGTTAACCTTAACCATCCATTGTCATAAAATTCTGCTCCAAGCTGTCTAGAATATAGAATACTCAGTCTTCCTGAATATGTGGAATCTTTCATCAACATTTTCTAGCACTGTGGGGAAGGATTTGGTTCTTTGTGCTACACACACTTAAGAGGTGTAACTAACCTCCAACACTGAGGGACTTGTGATTGTTTTTAACAGAGCCCGGAGGTCCTATTTTGTACACATTAGGGAGGCCACAGTATCTTTACTGAATGTTTAGTGGAAACATGAATTCTTATAATAAAAGTTTAGTATTTCATAGCTTGGATAGTTTCCTGGAAAATATTTGCAAAATTAAAATTCTTAAGATACTTTACATGGTCTCCCTAATGTAGATACAATACGGAGAAGAACATTTTTCCTCAGTTTTTTTTTTATCTTTTCATTTTTTGTCCTTTGCCTGGTATGTATAACATATATGCTTGTACATATTATATAAAGTAGCCTATTTATAAAATAAGCTTATACAAAGGGTAGTTTTAAGTGGACTATAATAGACATAAATATTTTAGTATAAACATTTATATATATAGTAGGGCAATGTGTATGCATTTACTTACCAGGAGAAACTTTTTCTCAAATAGGCAATATTTAAAATTTAAATCTTATGTTGTTATTTTAAAAAGTGTATTTAATTTCCACTACATTTCTTACATTTTACCTTTTTATTTAATTAACTGAGGTGAGTGTATGCTGAAAAAATGCAGAATATTACAGTAAACATTATTTTCAAGTAGAAAAAAGAATTAACTATTCAAATAAAAATAACCTATTATGCAGTTTAAGCATAAGTAAATAAAAACAAACATAGCAAGTTGAAAGTGGATAAATGGAAGTGCAATAATGTAAAGTTCATACACTATATGAGAAGTGCTATGAAACAATTTGAAGTTACAGTGATGATTAAAAATGTATACTCTAAATTCTAAAACAAAAAAAGCAAAATATGATAAGCAAATTAAACACATAAGCTAGAACCATAAAAATATGCAGTTGACCCAAAATAAGTCTGACAAAAGATGAAAAAGGAAAAGGAGAGCAACATAAAAAACATCAGGGAAATATATTTAAACCATGTAAATAAGCATATTTATTAAATATGTTATCTAATTCCCTCAATTAAAACAACATATGATCTCACCTTTAACTAAAACATAACAAAAGAAAAAAGCAAACAAAATATAACCAGAGTCATTGAAATTAAGAACAATCTAACAATAGCCACAGGAGAGAGGAGAGGGGACAGTGGGAAGAAAGGTTTTCAGAAACTACTATAAAGGACACATGGACAAAACCAAGGGGAAGGGTGGAAGCAAGGGAGGGAGGGAGGTTGGGAGGGGTGAGGAGAAAATACAGACAACTGTAATTGAACAACAATAAAATAATTTAAATTTTAAAAAAGCAAGATTGTCATATCAGATAAAAAAAAGGAGACTCAAATATATACTACCCCCAAGAAACACATTTCAGATACAAAGAAAAAATAGCTAAAAAGAGAAAAAACATATAACATGATAATAAGAGAAAACAGAAGTGACTATATTAATATCAGAAAGTAAATTTCAAAGCAAAAAATATTATCAGTGATTAACAAGGTCATCTTGTAATAATAAAGGGATCAATTCATCTAGGGGACATAACAATCCTAAATATTTATGCACCTAAAACAGAGCTTCAAAGTACATAAAGCAAACTTTGAGAGAACTTAAAAAGTAGATAAATCTGTAATAACAGAGATTTCAAAATCTCTTCCTCAACATCTAATGGAACAAGTAAACAAATTTAATAAGATATAGAAGATCTGAACAATACTATAAAATAACTTACCGTATTTTGCTGTGTATACTGTGCTCCAATGTATAATGCATACACATGTTTTTGTGTATGTTATACACATTATTATACACATTACTATATCCATGGTATGTATTCATTATACCCATGTATAATGTGCATCCTTATTTTTCCCTCAAAAATTTGGGGAAAAAGTATGCATTATACACAGGAAAATGTGGTAATTGACATTCATAGAATATACCACCCAACAATAAAATGCATTGTTTTCAAGTGCATATGAAACATTTACCAAATAATTATTATAATGGCCTCATTCAGGCCATTAACAAGACTCAATAAATTTAAAAGATTTCATACAAAATATATTTTCTGATCACAGTTTACTTATACTGTGATCAGACTTTACTTATACAGAAATCACTAAAGATTTCTGGAAAAATCTCCAAATATTTATAAACTAAGTAAATTTTTAAATAATTCATGTGTTAAAGAGATAAAGAAGGAAAATAGAAAGTATTTGGAATATATTGAAAATGAAAACACAACATACGAAAATGCATGAGATATTACTAAAGCTGTACATTGCAAAAAAATTCATAGGACTAAAGGCCTATATTTTAAGAGAGAAAATGTTTCAAATCAGGAAACTCGAAATAAATTAAATACAAAATGGGTGGAAGAAAAGAAATAAAAATGAGAAATAAAAATATGAAAATAAATATTCTAGGTATTTACTCAAGAAAAAAGGAAAACATGTCTTTACAAAGATTTGCTTATAGCACTTTACTTTTTTATAGCCAAAAACTGGACACATCACAAATGCCCACCAGTAGGTGAATGGATAAACAGACTGTGGTATATTCATGGTAACCAATGGAAGACTACTCAGCAACTATCAATGTACACTGCAATACAGATGGATTTCCAAATAATTAAGCCAAGTGAAATAAGCCAGACTATATATGTAGTGTTTGATGCCATTCATATACGATTCTAGAAAATGCAAACTATTGTATAATGACATGAAGCAGATCAGTGTCTGCCTGGGAACTGGGGTGGCAGGGGCACGGGGTCAAGGAGTGGGCAGGAAGGGGTAGGAGGCATGATGACAAAAGGGCACAAAGAAAATTTGGGGTGTGATGAATATGTTCATTATAATAATTATGGTGTGGTTGCAAGGGTGAATATGTATGTCAAAATTAATCAAACTGAATGCTTTAAAAAAGTGCAGTTTATTATAAAGTCAATTATACCTCAATAAAACTTTTCTAAAAAAAGAAAAAAATTATCTTAAAACTCTGAAGGAATATAACCAAAGTTTTCTTGAGTAGGTTAATCCTTGCTTTTCTCTTTTATGCATAGTGATGTTTCCTCACTGGTTCTACCGTCTGCTAGCATGGAGTGTGTCCGTTCCTATCTCTAGAAGGTCTGTGAGCTTTATTTGAAGTCATTTGTATGATTAGGCTGGAGAAATACATGACTAATGTCTAGTATCATTTAAAACAAATTAATTTCCCATTTCATTTGTCTGGCCGTAATTCTCAGTCTGGGACCTGCTGCAAAATGACCTTAGGAAGAATAACAAACAAAGATACCCTAAGAAAATCAGGCTAAAATTCCTTGAACTCACTATCTCATTCTCACACCTTCAAAATTATATTCCTGTGATTATCAGCTTTACTTTTTTTCATATCTTTGCTTTTATGTCTCATTTTCATAATTTAAATGATATGATATTGGTAAATTACAGAACTTTGCCCCAAGGCTACCAAAGAAGCTTCTGTATATTCTATTATAAAATTAGCTAATTAATAATTTCTCTATATTGCCAACAAGCAGAACTACATGGTTAAATTATGATGATGGGGTCTCATTGCATGCATATTATAAAACATCAAGTCATCATTCACTGTCAGGCACATGTGTGAGTGAGAGAGCATGAGCTGGAACGCTAATTGGGACAATGGAAGCATCTAATTCACATACTACTTTCCAAAGATGCTGCTTGTGAATTAAAATAAATCAGTGATATCTAGGAAGGGACAGGATGAGTAAGGAAAGAGGGAGAAGAACAAAGAAAGCCATGGAAGGAAAGGAATGCTAAAGGTATCCGAAGAGAAACAAGCTGCACTATTAAATCTAATTAAAGGCATCCTGTAAGGTATGGTGCAGGGCCACCACTAAACAGCTCCCTCTAGCTCAGCTCTAGGGGTGGCAACCGTACACATTAGACTAGGAGGGGAAGGATCGTCCCCTCCTTGCCCCATAAAGAATCCTAAATTATTATCTGTTTGTGCCTGACTTCCAGTGCTTATATTATTTTTATGTTAATAGTCATATTCTCACAGGAAAGCTATTGTTTCACTCACTGGTAAGCCCTTGTTTTCAATGCATAAGTATAAATGTTACATCAAACAACCCCCATTAAGGTGAAACATTATGCACCAATTCTATGACAGATATGGAAAATTTGTTTCCATGCCTTTTTAAAAATCATGTGAACTAATAAGATCCCCTAGGGTAATCTTCTAGCAAAGTCAAGAGTAAATACAATATCATCTTCATCACCTATTTTAATGTTCCACTGAAATCACAGCTCTACCGTCTATTCTGACTGTTTCAATCAAAACAAAATGAATAAACTTAATATTTAAATATTCCCCCATAGTTTCCATCAACAACCTTTACAGCCCTATTTATCTGAGTGTGGAGAAATTGCATGTTATCCTAGTCCTCTCTGTATTTAGCATACATTACTGTTCATTATCATACCAGCCTTCAACAAACTAGTTTATTTTACAAAAAGAAAGAAAAGAAGGACCTGACCTTTGGTGGATAAAAAATTAGAAGGTAACAAGACTGTGTTAATAATCTTATGTTAAACTATCTACGAAATTCAGTTCTTTGTAAACAATTCATAATTCTTTCTTATGTTCAAG